CTAAATATTTGGATTCAGCGACCCCGAACACCCCCGAGTAGGCATTTTTAGCAAGATTCGTTAACTTTTATTTAACTTTTTTTTCGATGCCGCTATACCCAATGGGAAGTTGCCAATGGTAACGATTGGTTCAATAATGGGCCATGCTTGGTGCCCAATGGTTTTTTTTTGGCAAAACAATTGGCAACCATCATTGGACCACCAATGGTTTAAACTTGGGATGATCACGCTACTGCCAATGATCGGTAGCCAAGCATCGGGCCAATATTAGTTGCCAAGGAATTGCCAAGGAAACAAAATCGATTTTCAAAAGCTTGATTTTTTATTGGCAGCCAACAAAAAACCAAGGTTTTGAAAATTGATTTTTTTTAATTATTAATTAAAATTTATTTTTAAAAAATATATTTTTCAAAAATTTATTTTAAAAAAATATATTTTTCAAAAATATATATTTTTTTTAATTAATAGAACATATTAATTTAATTTTTCACCTCTGGTAAAACAAAGGTGAAAGACTGATAAAAATTCCCTCACCGTATCTCACAGTGGAGGGATAACTGTGAATGTCTTTGCGAGAGAGGAGCAGGTACTTATAGAGCCAGTGAAACAGGTCACAAGCGAGAAGAAATCACTAGCATGCACTCTGGCGGCGCTTGTCGGAACTGTTTTCTGGCGCGCATGCATATCCTGACATTATCGACACAGCGCTTGGCAACCAACGTTGCGCCACTTCCGACAATCGCCGCCAGAGTGCATGCTAGTGATTTCTTCTCGCTTGTGACCTGTTACACTGGCTCTATAAGTACCTGCTCCTCTCTCGCAAAGACATTCACAGTTATTCCTCCACTGTGAGATACGGTGAGGGAATTTTTATCAGTCTTTCACCTTTGTTTTACCAGAGGTGAAATATTAAATTAATATGTTCTATTAATTAAAAAAAATATATATTTTTGAAAAATATATTTTTTAAAAATAAATTTTAATTAATAATTTAAAAAAATCAATTTTCAAAACCTTGGCTTTTTGTTGGCTGCCAATAAAAAATCAAGCTTTTGAAAATCGATTTTATTTCCTTGGCAACTAATATTGGCCCGATGCTTGGCTACCGATCATTGGCAGTAGCGTGATCATCCCAAGTTTAAACCATTGGTGGTCCAATGATGGTTGCCATTATTGTTCCAATAATGGAACGGAGTTGGCCAAGCATGGCTCATTATTGAACCAATCGTTTACTTCCCATTAGGTAGCGGTCATACACACTGGGGGCACGAATTATTTTGGCCTCTATAGACGTCAAACACTGAAGGGGTTAATTGCGTCAAATAATTATTTATGTAGTCATTCAAATAATTTTTTTACCTATATATTTACTTGATTCAAATAACTTGAATTATGCGAATATACGTAACTTTTTCCTTAGAAAATGCAGGTTGGCAAACTTAGACCAAAAGAATTTAAAAATTTAAAACAATCTTATAAACCCCTTCGCTGTTTGGAAAAATAATCATATGATTGGCCCAAAATGTTCAGCAAAATCTGGTAGATGAATTTTTATGAAACTTAGTATACAAGGGTTTTTGGGGTCGCTGAATATAAATATGACGTCAAAAAAAAAATCAAAATGGCGGATCCAATATGTCGGACAAAATTTTTAAATTTTAAATAGATATTATAAACAAAAAAAACAAAGAACAGAAAGTGTAATGTAAAACCTTTGCAGCCTCCACGCGGCACATTCTGGTGTCATGATTCGTTTTATCAGCTAATGCAAAGGATATAGAATAGAGTACAAATTTGATAAAAATCGGGATGAATTAGAAAAATTACGTCCCTCATTTTGAATTCATAATTTTTAATTTTGAAAGACAAATTTAAATTCAGCGACCCAAAATATCCCTTGATACTAAAATTGATAAAAATCCAAATGAATTTAAAAAATTTTCAAAAAGTATGTCCGCCAATTTGGATCCTGCATTTTGAAGTTTTAAAAATGATGGTCAAACTTAAATTCAGCGACCTGAAAAACCATTAGGTAGTGAAATTGATAAAAATCCAAATGAATTTTAAAAATGATGTCCGCCATTTTGAATTTTTTTAAAATTAATTAAATTCACCGACTCCAAAAACCCTTATACACTATGTGACTTAAATTAAAAATAAATTTTCATAAATTTTACTTGTTTTTAAATTGTTATATTATTTTAAAATAATAAATAATCATTTATTTATTACTAAATTTAGGAGCATTGCAATTAATAGTGTGTTAATAATGATTTAAAACAATTTATTTCATAATATACATAAGAAATTGCATTTATTTTGCGCTAAGAAGTTTACTACATAACGGTCGTTATGTTTACAGTTATGTTATGTTATGTTTACAGGCAACGGGTTAACAGAAAAATAATTTTTAAAATTAAAACATATTTTTTTACTAAATTTTCTTGAAAAATCTACATCATATCATGTTTTATATTTTTTGAAGGATAGTTTTTTGTACAAAAAAATTATTTCAAATTGAATGTGTACAACTTTGCCGACCTGCAATTTCTAAGAAAAAATTACACGTTAATGTCTACAAGTAATTCCCATTCTGTAGAAAAGATTATTGAGTATTGAGATTTAACAATTCTATTTCTGTGTAAGATATTTTTAAAAAATCATTATTGTCAATGTTTTACAAAAATTTAAATAACTTATAAAAACATGAACACTTTTAATGATCTTAAGCTTATAAGCTTATAACACAGGTCCACAAAAAAAATTCGTTGAAAGGTTCCTTCGACAAAACCTGGTATATTATATGTTTTTAGGGTCGCTCAAAAAGAATCTGAAGTCCGTTTTGCTCCATCACGTCAGGATTTTTCCTAACCTCAAAATACATATCAGATTTTACGTGACAAATAAAATTCTATAAATATTGACGGATTTACCTCAATCTTGGAATTAAGGCTTTATTGGGATTGCTGATTACGAACTTAGAGGCAGATTTTCAAAATACAGAATGGCGGATCAAATATGGCGGTCGGTTTTTTAAAAAATTCTTGAATTTTTACAAAACATGGTATCAAGGAGTTTTTGGGGTCGCCTATTACGAATTTAAAGTCAGATTTTCGAAATAAAATTATAGGATTTAATATGGCGGTCGGATTTATAAAAATTTCTTGAATTTTTACAAAACTTAGTATCTGTGAGTTTTAGAACTCTGACAGATCACGGAACAACTCCGTTGCCTGCCGTCACAACGTGGAGTTGCCGTGGATACAGGCCCACAAAAGATTTCATGGTCAGTGACCTTAAAAACACTTATATACCAAGTTCTGTAAAGATTCAAGAAATATTTTTGTAAATTCCACCGCCATATTAGATCCTTTATTTTTATTTCAAAAATCTGACTTTAAATTCGTAATTAGCGACCCCAAAAACCCCTCGATGCCAAGTTTCGTAAAAATTCAAAAATTTTTTAAAATCCGATCGCCATATTGGATCCGCTATTTTGTATTTTGAAAGTCTGCCTTGTAATTCGTATTCAGTAACTCCAATAAACCCTCGATATAAAGATTAAGGTAATTCCGTCAATATTTATAGAATTTTATCTGGCACGTAAAATCTGATATACATTTTGAGGTTAGGAAAAATCCTGACGTGATGAAGCAAAACGAACTTCAGATTCGTTATCTGCGACCCCAAAAACATATAATACACCAGGTTTAGTCAAAGGAACCTTTCAACAAATTTTTTTTGTGGACCTGTGTAATTATCATGTTATTAGAAGTTATTTAAATTTTTGTAAAACATTGACAATAATAATTTTTTAAAAATATCTTACACAGAAATAGAATTGTTAAATCTGAATACTCAATAATCTAATTCTTTTCACTTACATTACAATTTAACACTTCTTATTTTGGAAATTTCATATTTTGAACATTTTGGGCTTTGGAAATTTTGTATTGAAGAAAAATAATTTTTAGATTGTATATGGATAAAAAAATTCAATTTTGAAGTTCTGAATGTTTTTCGCATGCTTTATATAGTGATAGATCACAACTGCGCATGCGTTGTAGAAATAGAACACTACTGCTCATGCGTAATAATGATAGAACACTACTGCGTATGCGTTATAGTGATAGAACACTACTGCGCATGCGTATATGTATGTATACAATGAGTATTATTATATATGTATATTATACGATGAATAAATAATAAAAGTCGGAACGACTGAACGATGAAGTATACGGAAATACACGAACGACGGACGACAAAACGACGACGAATATGTTAATATTATATAATAAAGGATAATGTCCATAGTGTTTAAGATTGGATTTATTATTTTTTAATTATTTTTATTCTTTTAGGCCACAAAAGCCTAAGATTGATTCTCTCACTGATTTTTTTCTTTTTCATTTCTTTATTATTTTTTAACTTTCCTCTTCTCTTCTTTCTTCTTTTTTTCTGTTCTTTAATTTTTAATTAGCTGTACCTCTCTTGAAATTAAATAAATTTTTAAAAATAAAAAACATTTTTCCTTTCTTTATTAACAATAAATATTCTTTTTTTTATTAAAAAAAAGAATAAGGAGTTATTCTTTGTTTAATTTTATTTAATCTTTTATTTAATTTTTTCCCCTAAATAATACAGCGAATCCGGCTTTGGCAAATGGATCAAGACCTCGTTTTCTTAATAGTAAAGAAAAATTTAATAAAAATCTCCGTTTGCAAATTAACAAGAGAATTAAGAATCAAGAATAAGACAAAGGAGGCTGCGAGGTAACAGGAACAAAATAAATAAACTTTTAACTCGTTTTATTCAAACCTAATCATTACGTTATTCATTTTACTCAAGACCACGTAATGACAGTCGTGACTCGGAACACCACAAAAAAATATTTTCAAATGGCATAATTCTGCCATATAAAATGATTTCCAGCATCATAGTCTCCAAACAGTCATTGTCAAACATTCAATCGCGAATCGTTGTTCGGGAAATTTTTTTTCTTCATATCTTTTTCTCAATATGTTTACAAAATCAATAATTCATGTGTCAATTATTTTACAATTGTTTTATTTTACTTTTAATAACGCGGCATTTGTGACTAAAAAACAAGAAAATGTAATTGCTTCGAATAATAATTATTATTATGAACCTGATATTGAACCCTATGATAATTCATTGCAAACGGAGAAACCAATTTTTAACTATCGAAAAAATGGATTTCGTGTTGATGTTCGAATTGTTACTCCTTTAAATAATAATACAATTAACGAAAATATTGATGATCATTTTCCAAGATTTCCAATTAAAGAAATTGGACGTTGTATTATTGATTTGTCAATGATTTGCATTGAAAAACGTGTTTCACGATTTCTCGATATTGTTAAGCAATTAAAGGAAATTACACTTTATGGTCAATCGGTGAAAATGGTGAGGACTAAAGTTGCAAAACCAGTGGAAAGTGATCGTAATTTAATTGCCGATGGACTTAAGGAAAAAATTGACAGAAGTATCGATGAATTTTTCGAGACATTTGTACTTCGGATTACATTGCCAAAATGGAATGGAAAAAATAATCAAATTAATCTCATGTTCGATGATACTGACATCGAAGGTACGTGAGAAGAATATATTGAATAAATTGATAAATTGAAATATATTGAAATATAATCAGATGTGTAAAAGTTTAAAAATGTTTAATTGAAACATATTTTTTGGTTTATTTAAAGAAATAATAAATTTAATCTAAACCTAAGTTATAGTTAATTTTAAATTATTTATAACCAACTTTTAAGTTTGAATCAAACATAAAATTTTTAAACATATTTTTTGTTTAAACCATAACAGAATATACGTTTGAATTAAATGAGGCATTCTACGCGAAACGGACAACCCGAAATTTCTAATGGAAAATACATATTTTTTAAAATGCTGCTATGTACTTTTATTAAATTGCATGAAACAAAAAATATTATGGCTCTTTTTTATAGTAAATTTATTTGTCTTTAATTTGATTATTTTTAATTTTAAAATTGTATAAATTTTTACTGAAAAAATTAAAAAGGAAAGTTTTGTGTTTATTTTTATAGACTTTCGACTATTTAAAAAATTTTCAAATATTTTTTAAAAAATAGTTTAAAGTATGTAGATTATATGCTTCAATGGACAAAATGGCATCTTGTATGGTTTAAAAGTTATTTAATTTATAAAGTCGTTGTGTTTTACATTGAAAAGGATTAATTTTTTATGAATGGTTATACGTTTTCGATACATAAGCAACAATGATCACGCGGCAATGTTGAAACACATAACGTGTGATGATTTGAATTTATTTATATTTAGAACTAGAATTTTTTATTAAAAATAATAAATTATTTTGAATTTTAAATTTAAATAAATTCAAAATATCATATGTCATGTGTCACTTGTTTAAACATTACCATGAACACTGTTGCTTATAAATTGAAAACTTCTAATTATTCATAAAAAATTAATCCTTTTCAATGTAAAACACAACGACTTTATAAATTAAATAACTTTTAAACCATACAAGATGCAATTCTGTCCTTTTACACATATAATCTACATACTTTAAACTATTTTTTAAAAAATATTTGAAAATTTTTTAAATGGTCGAAAGTCTATAAAAATAAACACAAAACTTTCGTTTTTAATTTTTTCAGTGTAAATTTATACAATTCTTTAAAATTAAAAATAACAAAATTAAAGACAATTGAATTTACTATAAAATAGTGCCATAATTTTTTTATTTCATGCACTTTAATGGAAATAAGGTAAATTTCATTATTTGTGGACTACTTAAATTTCCCTCTTTTCTTAATAGTTAAAAAATGCCTTTTGTTTTATTTTTACAAAAATCTTTTTCTTATGTAAAGAAGATATATCAATTTTTAAACAAATTAAACTTTAAATAAAGTTTTATTGTCAAAATATAGCTTACATGAAAACTGCACTGAATCCCATGACAAATGTTTAAAATGTGACCAGAATAAAAAGAAAAGTAATTTGAAAGATTAAAAATTGATTTCAAGCCAAAAGTAAAAAATTATAAGTATTGGCCATCTCTCCCGGACATTCCAGGAGAGATAGCCAAATGCACTTTTTAAAAAATGTAAATTTTGAGATTGTTCCTATGAAAATATTTTGTTTTTTTTGTTACTTTAAAGTTAAGTGTTCAATGTTTAATTATCAATAAAAGTTTAGACAAAAATCGCTTTTTTATAAGGTTCTCAATGGTAATTTTTTCGACCACTTTTCTCTTTAAATATTTAATAAATTGAGCCGAAATTTTTTAAGAAAGTCTAAAATATAATAAAGAAGAGCAGTATGATGTGCAAAAGTTTTAATATTTTTAAAATTAATTATTACAAATTTCTTTAAAATTATCAGTTGTCACGGTCACTTCTACCCTAGTAGAAATTTGTCCTAGTTATTATAAAGGAACTGTCCAGTCGCGCTTGAAATTGTCTAGTTACTTTACTAGCCAACTGGCTAATAACTAGAATGGAGTGTGTCATGCTTTTTTCATCAAGTTATTATCAAGCCCAACTTTATAAATTCTGGTCAACGGTTCTGTAGAAAAACTAGACAAATTAATTCTTTTAAAATACTGAAAATTTGTTTAATATTAAGATTTACTGCAGTTAACACATTTATTTCATGCAATTAATAACAAATTTCTATTTAGCACCAAAAAAATTCAATAAAAAATATTTTTGGAAAATTTCTGTATCCATTATAATACAGACATAATAAATGAAATACAATAAAAAATTATATAACATTTTATAATTTTTAATTAATTAGTTGAATTATTATATAAAAATATAATAGAAATAGTAAATTATTACATGTAATTTCCTACATTACTTTTTGATTTTTAATTCATTTAAAAAAAATTCTAAATTCGAATATCCTAAATATTTACTGTTTTTAAACAACTTTTATTTTTTTAATGTACTATTATTAACAATAACACTGAAACAAATATTTTTTATTCGTATAAACATTATAATCTATGTATATATGGGCAATTCCACGTGAGATTTTAGTCGACCTCTTAAAACCGCCAAAAAAATTTTTTTTTCTATTCTGTGTCGAAAAAAACAGATACGTATTTTTTTATTTTTGTTTAATTGTCCAAATTTTCGAGATATGAATTTTCGAAATTTTGGACTTTTAATTGTATACCTATATTCAGTAGCTTATAAGTTCGAAAATATTGAGTTTAGGAAAAAGTTGTCAGAGAATGAAAGTTTCTTTCGACTTTTAAAAAATGAAAACAAAAAAATTTTTTTTTAATTTTTTATTTAAAAAAAAATTTTTTTTTATAAACAAATTAATTTTTTTTAATTTTGGTCCGGATTTTTTTTATTTTTTAAAATTTATTTATACCTTATAATATAGAGAAGATTTTCCAAAAAGTCCCGAAATGGGCCTGATGTGTTAAATGAGTTTTAAAACATTTTCAAAAATCACTTGCAAGTATCACAGTGGGATTTTTTTACAATTAACTTTTTTAAACTGTCTACAGCGTATAATTTTTAATCTATTTGAGTGATCTAGGAGTAGTTTAAAGTAACATTAAAGAAACTAGACAGAAGTTATGTCTAGCGAATATCAAGTTCAACTTGAATCTTTGACGAAGAGCGTTGATCAGTAACTTCAAAGTTATTTACCAGTTTTTACTATAGAAGGGATTTATCACTCTAAATAAATGTCCGTAGTTATGTGACATTTTGTTCATTTTTGTGGTGTCCATCGAGGTGTCCATAATATGAAGAGTATTTTGACCCTACATTTGTAAATTTTTACGTAAAAGAAAATTTCAACTTATAAGTATATTATTTTTTGAATTTATTCTTATCACAATAAGTATTTTAGCTTTTAAGAAAAATGTTGAGGACAAGTTGCTCTACAATATTGATCTATATGTGACGCTCCACGAGAAAAGGGACCTTATGACAAGAGTAAATAAGGTCCTTTTTCTCGTGGAGCGTCACATATATATATTTGCATCTAAGCGGATTTATTGTCTAAAAAAACATTTATGCAAAATTTAACATTTAGCCCCAGTCTCCCCTGATCAATATTGTTTTTTAAATATTTATAATTGTGGAATTTCACTGACAATCAGAGATTTTTACTGATTCTTAGTGAAATTCCACTAATAAATTAAAAAGAACTCGTCCCTGAATTAAAATCAATGAAATTTTCACTGATTCAGATTTAAAATGTATTCTTTTAAATTAATTGGTTTTAGTTTTTAAAATATTTTTTTATTTTAGTTTTAAATTCATTAAATAAAAATAATAATTTCAGGACGTGGCAAAAAGAAAAAAGGTGGAGGAAAATGCAAGAAAATGATGATGTGCATGATGATGATGTTCAAAATGAAGCTAATGGGTAATTAATTATATTCACTTACAATTTTAATATTACAAAAAAGAAAAAGATTTAAAGCCATCAAAGTCATTTACTGATATTGTTGCGAGACAACAAATAATACACATTACTAACTATTTTATTAATTATTTACTAGTTTAAATAATTTATTATTGCTTTGTAACCTTTCTAGATAAACAGATTTTAAAAAATCAATCACATTTATAGAAAGTTTGATAAATTGCAAAAATGAGGAAAAATTGTATCGCTTTAGGTGCTTCCCGTAAAAAGATAAAAAACAATACCTAATAATAATTAAATTTTTCAAAATTGTTTATATATTAATTTTTTTACAAGTCTTCATTCAGAATTCTTCAAAGTTTCCTAAAGTGCAAAACTAAAAAAAATTATATTTTTATTTTCTGTAAAAAGAACGCAAAAGTTAACAGAATGAAAACGATTTTTTAATTTTTTTTTTGCGTATTATTTAACACACTGAAAAAATTTATTTAATTCAAATAATAAATTATTAAGTATTTAACCCTTAAAGTACACACTTCAAAAACTTACGATCGATACACACAAGAGCGATTTGTACCCTGCTGTACTTTGAAACCTTATATCTTTGTCTCAAATTGATGATTGTCTCAAATTCAGTGGATTTTTTTTAATCGATAGGAAATGTTCTGAGGAATATGAAAAATATAGTTTAGTTGATATAAAATTAATTTGTTAAGGTACTACTACACTTTAGAAGGATCTTAAAAGACCAAATTTAAAAAAAAAATTTCTTAGGTCTTTTATTATAAATATTTAAAAAACTTTTTTGCCTATATTAGTATATATTTGGAGAATAAAAATAATGGTTTGTTTTTAATTTTTATTTAATATCATAATCTGCAGACAGCATTCAGATCGAAACTCCAAAAAGTTAGTTGTCCAATTGCGGACAGTTTATATCAAGATTGACAAATCGGAAACAAAAAATCCAAATTGCTTTTTAAAAAGGAAGGTGTCTTGCATAGAAATCTACCACCAAACATGAAAAATCGACTAAAATAAAAAAATAGCAGACGTTTCAATAATTTGTTTAAAAATACAGTATGTTTTTCAGTATTTTTCTAGTCTGCAAAAATGTTTTTTTAAATTTTTTGACCATTTTCTGGTAAATTGTCACACAGGACATGCTAACAAACAAAACGAGTTATCATTTATTAAAATCGGTTCAGTAGATTCATAGATAAACTGTCCGCAATTTGAGAAAACGTTATTTTGAGAAAAACGCGTTTAAACTTATATATATGTATCGTTAGAGGCCATTCATAAATTACCTAAAATTCTTTTGCAAATTGAAACCCGACCATTTTTGTTATTCAGACACTGTTACATACATTAGCACCAATGTTTCTACTGGTCGTAACAAAAATCTGGTCATTTGTCAATGACTTTTTACATTAATTAAATATTTTTTGAAAAATTTACTTTTATTTTTTACAATTGGTTATAAATACTTTAGGAGGTGTTTTCTGAAGTCATAAGGAGTTAAAAAATACAATAAAAAAAAATTAAATTTTTTTAAATTGTAAAGTGTAGTAGTACCTTAAACAATATTTAACAATAAACAATAACACGCGTTTAAGAATGGAACGCATTTGAAAAAACACCAGGGCGATCTGTACTCAGTGTGTATTAAGGGTTAATATTCAACGTCAACGTACATTTCAGTATATAGACTTTCTTTGAACATAATTACTATAATTGCATATTTACAATTACACAATGTACACTTACTTTTATGCACAACATTATTAATGATTTTACGGAAAATAAGGAAAGAAATAATGATAATTATTTTTATTTTACTTTCGACAGAATATTTAATAATTTTTATCAGTATATTGAAATTTAAAAATTTTATCAATATTATTAGGTGCGAAAACATTATGACTAACTGAGTCACTATAGCGCATTCGTCGTTCCTTTTCAATGACCCACAGCAAGTCCTGCGTAGCCGGTCCGGTACATAAGCCGGCGCGCTGTAAAAAATCCTCTATGTTCATAGTATTTATTAGATTTTATATACTTTTTTACTAAAAAAAATTCAACTAATTTATTTTTTATTTCTCTAAGTAAAAGAATTTCTAACACAACAAATTCAAAAAATATAATTAATAAAACCAAACTTTGCAACATCGAAATGAAACATTTAAAAAATAATAAAATAAACACAAAATACAAAGACATCTGCAATTCTGTAAATCAATTTAGAAACAATAAAGCTCGCTTAAAATGGAAAAAAAACCTCTGTGAAGTTGATGCAACGTTACTGCACGAACCTGATCTGACAATTAACAGTCATTACATGATACAAAAACTGTTTTTCAGTTTTATTAACTAATTGAAAAAAATTTTGCTACTAGATTCAAATTAAAGTAATTAATCAATTCTTATTTCGAATTTTTGTCACATATTTTGATAATTGAAAATTATTTCAAACATTTTCATAACAGGAATGGTTGGAATGATGGCAATGAAAGGAATGCTCTTCTCGGGAATGTCAATTATGATGTCGAAGGCAATGTTGATACAGAAATTGATGAGTCTCAAAGGAGGCGGCGGCGGAGGTGGTTGGAGTTTCGGAGGAGGCGGTGGCGGTGGTTACGGAGGAGGAGGACATGGAGGTGGAGGCGGAGGTGATAAATTCCACTAAATAATAAATATTGAAAAAAAGAAAAGTTATAAATAATGTAAAATTAGAATAATCTATATTTGTGAAAAAAATTTAATATTCTTTTTTAAATTACAGGTCAATATAAAGAAGTTGTTTTACTAACAAAAAGCAGTGGCGACAGTGGCTGTGGAGGTGGAGGTGGAGGACACGGAAGTGGTTGTTCATCTAACGTACCAGACAGTTATGGTGCACCACCATCAAATAGCTATGGAGCACCATCATCCGGAGGTGGATATTCTTCAGGAGGTGGATACTCATCAGGAGGTGGTGGCTGGGGAAGAAGTTTCAATAATCCACAACAATTGAATAGAGAAACTTTTATTGACGAATCGGTGCCAAATTTAATTTCCAATTTCAATACAAACCTCACCGATAGTGACAAATATTTCAATTTGAATTCTACATTCTTCAAGAGTATGGATAGAATTGATAAACATCGCGAGAACTTTGAAGAAACGAGTCAAAATAATTTAAACTTAAAAGATGGTATAAACAACCATCACGAGACTTTTAATGAAAATATTCAAAATAGTACTTTGACATTAAAAAATCTTCAACCCGTTTATGTCAAGGATTGGAGGAATTATAATTCTTCGACTATTCGTAGTATTTTGTATCCAAACAGTTTCAGTACACGAGAAGAGAAGAGACAAACTTAAAAATGTCCGTTTAGATTGGACATTTTAAAATTGTATTTATAATTTATATTTACTTATTTCTTGACTTGTATACTTATACTTCTATTTACTTATATCTTTGCTCATTTATTTGCTTATTTATTTACTATTTATTTACTTATTTACTTGCCTATTTATAAACTTATTTATTTACTTATTTAGCATTTATTTATTAAAATACGTTTATTCTAAATTTATTTATTTAAGTTTATGAATTTACAAATCTTTTATTTGCCAGTGTACATAAAATTAATGTTAAGAAAATAAAAAGATAATACAAAGCTGAAAACCATATTTAAGAAAAATTGTTTCATCCACTTGTATAAATTATCTGGAAATCAATAAAGTATTATTTTTGAAAAATACTTAATCCTTAATTTCTATTTTATCTCCTTAATAAAATTCAAAAACTTAATTATAAACCGTAGTGAGAATAAATTAAAAAAGTATATGTACACTTTAATTATAATTTTATTTACAAAATATTATAATTTACTAGCGTCATATTCCTCGCTCGCTAACGCTCGCTCCGAAGACATTTTACTCATTTATTTCCACTTACATAAATAATTTTTGAGGTAAAAATTTTGTTTAAAAAATTTTTAACGTCAAAAACTCTCCTGATTAAGCTAATTTTGTTTAAAAAAATCTTTAACTTCAAAAACGATCCTTATACCTCCAACAGTATGAATGCAGGCTAATTGTTTATAACATTTTTACACCAATAGGTCTTTTTTAAAAATAATTATGTAATATATGTTTTCGTAGTGGTTTTTAGCGTAGAATCAAATAGCGCTATAAGTTTCTTATAAAAATCGATTTTTCTTCATTTGTTTATAAAAAAAAATTGTTAAAAAAATATTTTTTTAACATTCAACGACAAAAATTATCATTAGATCCCATTCCAGGATTCCAATAGTTACTTTTATTATATCTGCATTCCTTTGCCTGTAGACATCCATGGGTTAATGTAAAAAATCTTTTCCTTAAAGCATTTTTTCAGTTAGTAGAAAATAAATTTGACACAATAACGTTTGACTTTTGTTCCACTGAAGACCATAACAATACAAAATTAGAAATACACTCGAATCTCGCTATAACGAGAAGTTCGGGAGTCAAGTCTCCCTCTATTACGAGCGCAAGAGGAGAAATGAGAAATCCCCACTTTTAAGATTCTTCATTCATTTTTTTTAGTCTTTACAAATTAAATAATGTCAAAATTACAAACGTAACCTTGTTTTTCTTGAACTTTAACATACAGAAAATTTATATAAGCTTAAATTTTGAAGATGTTCGACTCATTGATATAATTTCAAATAAGAAGTGACTTTTTATTTTTATTTTATATAAATAAAATTGATTTTAACCAAATTTAAACCAACTGAATGTGCATTTGTTTATAAATAGTGGGGGTAATCGGGAGAAAATTTTTCTCGCTATACCGAGAGACAGAGCCCTCGTTATAGAGAGCGCTCGTTATAGAGAAGGTCGTTATAGCGAGATTTGAGTGTATAAGCCTGGATAAAGTGTGGAGGAAAAGATTTTTTACAATAAAAAAGGAAAATAATGTTGATAAAAAAGTTAAAAATATATAGTTAAACTGTTTATAATGATAATATATACGTATATAATTAATAAATGTATTAGAGGCGAGCAGTAAAGGTCATATCATCTTTTAAAATACACTGATATAGGCGCTACTTAGTTAGCGCAACGCACAAAAACTCGTAGCGCAAACTTCAAAAAATTTTTTCTCAAAAACATCAAAAAGCACTTCTTTAAAAATTTAACCACTTATTAGGTTTAAATTTTGAGAAAATAATTTTTTTAGGAAACTCCATGATGTCCTTAGCATATTTTTTTAACAATAAAAAATTATTGTTTAAACAAATTATTGAAAATTTAATTTTTTTTAACTTTTTTTTGATATTATAAAAAATTGACATTTATTTATTTTCAGTTTCCGATTTTTCAAATCTAAATATCTTGCAAAAAAAATTTATTTTTGCAAAACTGTTTAACACAGTTATTAAGTACCCCAAATACTACAAAATTACAAACTTTAAGAAAAATCGGTGATCCGCCATTTACTTTTCGTATGGAACTACCCTTGATATAAAAATTTTAATTTGTAGTATTAAATAAATAGTTATTTGTAGCAAATTCGAATTATTTAAGTCAAATTAATGGAATAATTGGATTTAATTAATATTGCTTTAAATCAATTAGGAAAATTACTTGATTCAGTAATGCATGGATTTTAACTCAAATAAATATTTATTTGCATCAATAAAATAATTTTGCTTCCTCATGAGGAAGCTTTGCATTGGTGACGATTTTCAATTTTTCAAAAGAAGGTTATATGGACTCATTTTCATCTAAAACATATATGTATATTCAATTATGAGCAAATGTCCAGATGTATGTGTGTGTGTGTGTGTATGTCACAAAAATTGTGTACAAATTATCTCAGACAAATTTTGATGGATTGTCCTAAAATTTTGCAGGTTTATTGCAGTCATATACCTAAAATCTGACACAAGGATTTTCGAAAATATCTACAAAAATTTTTTTAAAATTTAGAAAAAATTGTTTTTTGTATTTTTTGAAATAATTTTTTTATTTGTTAATATTTTAATTAATTTTTCTCAAAATTACATTCCTGGCAAGAAAACGAATCGATTGATGTATACAAAGTATATATTTTATCAAAATTTATCAAATTAATAAATATTTTTCTTTTTAAAAAAACATTCAAATTTTGTATTTTTTTCATAATTTATTTAATATTAATATTAATATTTTGAAATGATTATTCTATTATAAAAAAGAAGCAATTGGCAAATGAAAGTGTAAATTTCACCAAATATTTATATAACAACTTATAAATTATAAATGATTTATATAATTTTATTTTTAACAAATCTTCTGGACGAACCCTTTTGTACATAGTTTTTCAAAAGTTTGCAAAACCGCAATTTTTATACATTGAGGAAGCTAAATGGTCATGAAATAAACAACTTTTTTTAAAATAACTAAATATTTATGAGACATTCCGCACGTCAACACGGACAGAGCTCTAAACAAAAATTGCTTTGATAGATTTAAACGTTCTAGGGCTTAAAAGATTTCTACATTCATGTACTTTAAGATGGCGATGGGCGTTTTTTGCAAATTCTCATTTCCGATGCCAATAGAGCTGTCAAAAGTTAAATGGTCCAAAAAATTCAAAATACTTTTATGAATTAAAAACAGAAAACGAGGTAAATTATTCTGTAACTCATTCTTTAACAGTTTTTTAAGGTCCCCGAATATAAATCTAAAGTTTTTTTTAAATTCAAAATGGCGGATCCAATATGGCGGACAAAATTCAAATTTTATCAGATTTGATTAAAACTTGTTACTCGGTGGTTTTTAGGGTCGCTGATTACGAATCTACACTACCGCGGTCAAAATTGAGAGACCATCCATTTTTAGGTGATTGAAAAACATTTTAAAACATAAAATGTATGGAAACTAAAATATTTTGCTTTTCATTTGTTGAAAGATGATAAAATTTTGAAAAGAACAAGATCTTTTAGAAGTCATTTGGCCAATATTTTATTTAGGTATTTTTAAAAAATTGTCTTTTTCAATGTCTTACAAAAATTTAAATAACTTTTAAAATAATGAACTAAAAACTATTTTAGAAAATATATAAAACATTATATAGTGTAGATTTTTCAAGAAAATTTAATAAAAAAAATACGTTTGAATTTAAAAAATTATTTTTCTGTAAATAAGAATGTTTCAAATTTTTTATATTTTTTTGGTTCAAGTTTGACCGCCTGTATTTTTTAAGAAAAAAAAAATTACACGTTAATGCCTATAAGTAATTCTTAAAGTGTAGCAATTGACCTTCAAAATAAACCTAAGATCATTAAAAAGCGTTCATTATTTTAGAAGTTATTCAAATTTTTGTAAAACATTGAAAATGGCGATTTTTTTAAAAATATCTAAATGATTTATTGGCCAAACGACTTCTGAAATATCTTGTTCTGTTCAAAATTTTATCATCTTTAAAAAAATGAGCAGATTATGAATATGAAGTTACTTTGTAGAAATTGAAAATGATGAATCTAACATGGTGGACAAATTTTAAAATTTGATAATATTTAATTAAAAAGTGTTACTCGGGGGTTTTTAGCGTATCTGATTACGAATTTGAAGTCACTTTTAAGAAATTTTAGTTTCATACTGTTCTATAATGTAAACAATTTGTTATTATTACAAATTTGAAAATTTCTTCTGCCATTTTGAATTTTGAATTATTAAAAAGTGACTTCAGATTCGTAATCAGCGACCCTAAAAACTCCCGAGTAACAAGTTTTAATCGAATCTGTTCCAATTTGAATTTTGTCTGCCATATTGGATCCGCCATTTTGAATTAAAAAAAAAACTTTAGATTTATATTCGGGGACCCTAAAAACTGTTAAAGAATGAGTTACAAAATAATGTACCCCGTTTTTTGCTTCTAATTCATTAAAGTATTTTGAGATTTTTGGACCTTTTGACTTTTGACAGCTCTATTAGCATTGGAAATGAAAATTTGCAAAAAACGCCCATCGGCATCTTAAAGTACATGAATGTAGAAATCTTTTAAGCCCTAGAACGTTTAAATCCATCAAAGCAATTTTTGTTTAGAGCTCCGTCTGTGTTGACGTGGAATTTCCCTTATTTATATCAAATATGCAATTATTTTTCATAATTAATTATTTTAATTTAGACCAATATCTCTTTAACCCCTTAGCAGTGTAGTCAAAATAAGCTTTTCGTGCCACAAATGTGCAAAAAAAATTTTTTTTTTTAATTACTTGATAATATTATATTTTATGTTTTCGGGGTCGCTGAATCCGAATATTTGATCAAAATTTAAAAATTCAAAATGGCGGCTTAAAAATTTAAAAGTTTCCGTATTTGACTAAAAATACTCACTTGGAGGTTTTTGGGGTCGCTGATTTCGAACATCTGGTTGAAATTTTAAAATTCAAAATGGCGGCTTTAAAATGGCGACCGAAAAAATTTTAAAGTTTTCGGATTTGGCTAAAAAAGAGCATTTGGGGGTTTTTGGAGACACTGAATTAGA